CTTTGTCGTCAACTGCACGATGATCATATAGCTGCTGGAGGCGAAATCGTAAATAGGACTTCTTAGACCATAGAAAAGAACAGGTACTATGTGGTTCATTTGAACATCGGTGATGGTGATCACCTGATCTATTACACTTGATATCAATGTGATATAAAAGCTGTACAGAGTGGTCAGATGAGATGCCTGGTCAGAGTAGGTCTCTATGGCAGATATTACATGGGTACACAGCATCTTCATGAATACATTGTCTTTGCTAAAACGATTGATAAGTATTTCTAAGATCCGTGATTGACCACGTTTCTGCAAAGACCTCAGCCAATGCCACTTGTCGTCTTTATCTGATAGATCCAACAATTGCAGTGCTCTTAAAAAGGATACAAGAAAAATTAACAAACTTTTACATAATTTAAAGATTGATTTTATAAATCTTTTAATATACGTGAAATATTTCACACACAAATATCAATTATAATGTTATATTTTTTAAATTAAAGAAGCTACAAACAAAATTAAAACAATATATCAGACATATAGATATCCATTATGATGTCATAGATATTGATTTTTAAGTTAAAAGGTATACAAATAGGAAGAATATAAATGATATAATATGAAACATAGCTCTTAGAAAAACATTCTTTTTTTAATTGAGTACTTTTCCTCATTAATACATACCTAGCAAATATACGAGACTCATGATATGGCAAAATTAGTAATATAAACTGATCTCGGTTATATTGATGTATGCGATATCTATATATCAACCATTCTAGTGCTTTATGTGAAGCATTTACTAGTAAATATGGAGACAATAGTATCAAAAACTTTGCAATATCTGCATCCACTTTCTTATTTATCGCAGTATCTTGAATAACACGCTCAAAACTCAAGGAATTCTCAGAAAACAATGTCTCTTTAAAATCAACAAAAACTGAGGAGAGTCTCACTAGATTTTCCAGACCATTTTGACCTAAACAAATGAAATAATGATTAGAAATAAAAAAAAAGTTGACAATTTTTTAACTTTTAGAAAAGTTAAAAATATTAAAATGAAGAAGAAGCTAACCTATACTTAATACAATGTGCCGGTCTAAATTTGCAGCTTCTATTGGATCAAATAACAAACTGGGACGTTTCTTGTCTTGCACGAGTAAATCTGTCTGCGGAGCTTTCAATCCGAGAAGTTGATCTAATAACGAGGTTGCCATCGTTAATTCATAAGCTAAAATCTTCAAAATTAAATTTTAACAACTTCTAACAGCCTCTCGAATCCCACGTGCATTTGGACACGTGCAAAATTCCTATCCGCATAAGGTACATTCAGATTCTCCACTCGAGTGCACTCTAATGCTAAATTCACGTTGCACGCGATTAGCGATGAGCGATGTCCAATGAAAGTATTGCTTTAAAAAGAAATAAGAGTTGTTTTTTTATTTTTATGTTTTATAATGTCGATAAGTAGGAAAGGCAAAGAATAGTTCATACATGCTTTTGGCTGATATTCACGTGTCGTATGACAAGCTTTTTGGATACGTTCATTGTTTGACGAACAGAGAACCTAGAAACACTCTATTCGCCAACCAATAAACGTATCCGAAAAGCCTGTCGTACGACACGTGAAATAGCACTCTTCTCTGCTTTAAGCCCATTCTACAATTGCGTGAACGTGGTGTAAGTGGTTGTAAGTGATTACGACAACCAATCAGAGTAAAGCAATCAGTGAATAAAACATTCGGATTGGTTGACTCTTACGTTCACGACTACGCTTACGCAATTGTAGAATGGGCTTAAGTCCCGATCTACAATAGGTGCAGTAAGCTTTAAGTGGTAAGAAATTAATCACAATTGATTATTCCTCTATAATTCCACTGTAATTGGTCAATATCTTAAGGCTTAAAACTTACTATACTTTTTGTAGATCGGGACTTAAATGACGAAAAGGCCAAAAGTTTAAGATCAAAATGCCAAATACAGATAGAGAAAGAGAGATAGAGAGAGAGTCAATTAAAGTATCATCCATATTGCGATGACGTGTTCGTAACAAATATGTTTATAAGGTTCCGCGGCATGATTTAGATAAAATATTTGGTAGAGTTTTAATAAAATAAACTCGTAAAATACACGTTGTTTTTAACGACGTTAGTTGGAACAATTTAACTCGAATCAATGCTTATATCATATTGTAAGATCCTACCTACCCTTACGAAAAAAATACGAAAAAACCCTCAATTTTGGGTGTTAACCACAGATATCTATATTAAACTAGATTGTTAACAAGGAGCTTCGAACGTGTGTCGCGTAAGGTTTCCGGTTGCATGCGAGAAAATGGCGGCGGTCCTGTGTGTGTGAGATTGTGGGTGAACTTACAATGTACAATATAAGTCAACGTGGCCATTAAATTACTGTCGTAAAACCAAAAATTCCAGCATCTTATTGCATCAAAAAATGTCGTGACAAAAAAATAAATAGTATTGGATGTTATTTGCTCTGCTCATTTTCAACAAAAGAATTTTATGACTAAACGTAGTGAAAATATGTGGTGGTAGCGGCCATTTTCTCGTATGCACCGAAAACTCTACATGACCGTTACATGCTTTTAGATATCCTGTTAGCAATCTAGTTTAGTATAAACATCTGTGATATTACACTACAAATTTAGATATTTATCCCCAGTTTTCGGGCGTTTACACCCAAAATTGAGGGTTTTTTTCGTAAGAGTTTCTTTGAGTCGTCTTAATGGATGAGGTTTGCTATGTGGCAAACTCCGAAGAAAAGTATTGAATAATTAATGTTCTTGAAGTTTTGTTTAGGACGACACAAATATTATTTAACTTGAGTAAGTTATACACTTACAATCACAACACTAATGTTTTAACGCGACATGAATGTAACGAAACGAGAGTTATTAATGAGTCGATCACGCACTAATTAAATCCCTCTTATAATTGTTTTAGCACGTTATGGCCCAAGGTTCAGTTCAATAAAGAATCACCAGAACTGTATCTGTAGTAATAATTACTTACTTCTAAGTCTTTACGAGACTCAATCCTTCCTTCCAAAGATTTGCACTGCGACGGAAAGTAAAGCGATCCTAATGTCATTAGGAGCAGAGAGCAAGGAGAAAAGCAGGGGATACAAACTCGCTCTTGTAAAAATTGGATTCCGTTTTTAATGGCGTCCTCTGAAATTGTCTCCGGATGTGGGCAAACTAAACGGGTGACGTCATGCGAAGTGGGGATACGCGTCAATGGCCGCGTTCAGTAGAACAAGTGATCAGTAAGCGCTCAGGGAGCTCTTGTATATGATTTGGCATATTCTTTTAGATCTCCAACTATACTCCAATCAGATGCAAGAGCTCACTGAGCGCTTACTGATCACTTGTTCTACTGAACGCGGCCATTGAATATGAACTGGCGCGCATAGGCAGACGTTTTTGAAACGTTTTAGCGAGCAATAGCGAGCAACTGCGAGCAACAGCGAGCAACAGTGAGCAACAGCAAGCAACAGCGAGCACTAATATAAAGCAATAAATATATATATTATCTTATTACTAATCATTGTAGAGTAGTAATAGTGTAGTAATAGTACTAAAACAATTAGCTAAATCGTAAAAGTAGCAACTAACCTACATACCTATACAATAGCATACAACACATACACACACATCCACACATATACACTCATCACACAACTGCTACGTGCTATACGTGCATAAGTTGCTTGCTATTGCTCTCTATAACATCTGTCTGTGCGTGCCATTCATACTTCCATTGGCGCGCATCCCCACTCCGCGTGACGTCACCCGTTTAGTCCGGCCACTTCCAGAGACAATCTCAGAGGGCGGTAGGTGTAGGTAGCGCCACTTACCAGACGGGAGTTATTATCCTCTGGAGAAAAGTGAGCTTGATAAGTGAGCGCTGGCATTATATAACTATAGTAGATGTCGCTGTAAGCGGGTGTATATCAGTTGGACATGGGGCAATTGGACACAGTCCAATCACAAGTCGCTGTTCCAAGGGACCCTACAAATGTCTCTAAGTACACGGTGCTGTGATTGGCTGTGTCCAAATGCACCGTGTCCAAGTGCACCGCTCCCGCTGTAAGCGATCACGGTTCGCAAAACGGTTCTACCCATTGGTTGCGTTCAGCAGAGAAAGCTACTTTGCAACTGTTATAAAATTTGTGAATCTGATTGGAGTATGCTCTTAATTTTGGTTAAATCCATTCGTGAATCCGATTGGTACATGTTCTTGGATTCAACCAAAATTAAGATAATTTTATGTTTGATGTGTTAAAATAATAATATACTAGGTAATTAGTATATGATTACTAAATAAATAATTTTTGTAAATATCTGTTCTGCTTTATAAACGTATAAGTTCCTTTTTTGACATTGTTTTAACAATTTTTCAATAATAATGTAGGGATTCCAACGGTACACTATATTATTTGTCTTATCGCTCCTGCACACAGGACGCGGTAACGCTTGCCACACGGCGGAAATCCGCGCGACAGTCAATCAATATGTTGTTTTTCCGTAAGAGCTAAATGGTTATTACGGAAAGCAGCATATTGATTGGCTGTCGCGCGAACTTCCGCCGCGCGGCAAGCATTACCGCGTCCTGTGTGCAGGAGCCATAAGTTCTGCTGCACCGTTGGAAAGAACAGTAACCTCTGACGTCACTTCTACTAGAAAGAACACACCAGTGTACACTTCTTGAACTAGTGCAAGAAGTTCAGCTGGAAAGAACAAACCTTGAGTTCGTTGAACGCACCCGCAGTTTTTAAGGCAGGATACCACCTTTGTACTTTCAAAAAATCGAAAATTTTTTTTTGGCTTAAAGTACTCTTTCAAGTGTATAGAATCGAAATTCATTCATTAGAAAGGTGACCGAAACCTTTTTCTAGTGTTATAAACCGGTTTGGAGCAAGCGCTCTCGGCGCGTTTCTCGGGCTGCCGAGCGCGCACAGACAGACTACCTGTCTCATCCTACTACTTGTCAATTTACCGACCTTTATGGCCCCTTTTAGTTCCAAATAGTGAAGTATATGTCGCTAGTTACTGTTTTCATTATAATATGACATATACTTCTATGTTTTATATAGTTCATAACGAATTAGTCGTGTAAACATCATTCACGTGTTGCTTGGTTTTGTCGCTTATATGAAGCCTTGGATTGACGAAAGCAGTGATGAGGATCAAATTGAGGAAGATGTTCACGAGGACTAGCCTAACATAGCATGCAGAAGGCATTCGAGGTCGAACGCAGAAAATCAGAATGGCCGAATGTAGGTGCGATAATAGCGCAGCATGCTACCGTATAAATTATTTTAAACTGTCGCGCGTGAAGATGTACAGGTACGATAAAGTGATTGGTCGGACGATCGTAATTTAAGAGCGAGAATGGGAAAGCGAGGTGTCGTCGTGCCGTGCGTGGACGAGCGAGCGGGTCGTATCGCGTTAAGACATTTTGTATCAACCTGTTAGCGAACTGTAGTGTATCTACATATACTATTAATAAATATCTAATTAAAGAAAATACAGGTATATTAAGTCTATAAAAATTTCATGTTTTATTAACAAAAACATATGTCGAATATTCAAATGCGTTTTTCTCGAAACGATATTTTTCAAACTGGTACCAGAAATATCTCGACAACCACTGAACCGATTTGCTTGAATTTTATAGTGGCTATTCTACACATAATTATCTATCGCGTATCGTAGGATTTTTTTTTAGAACTCATAGTTTTTGGGGGGGAGCGAGGGAACGAACGGATTTTGTCTTAAAAATCGCAACGTTAAATTTAAACGCCCGCCATTTTGTCAAAAATTGATATTTTTGAAATCGACTAAGATACGCCAAAGATATTATTATATATTTTAACATTCCATGAAAATTTTTTGTTTCAGTTGATTTTTGGCGAAGGTATACCTGGTACCGTTTTGGGTGATTTTTTCAGGGCTGCCTCTTCACGACACCATATCTCCGACATTTTGCGCAATTTTTTAATAAAAAAAAATTATGAAGTTTCTTCAAAATGTATATTTTTAACTAAAAAAAACCACAATTCGGTAACTCCAACAGTTTCAAAAAAAAAAAATTCCAGGAAATTGCCATTTTTTGGCCTCCTAGATGTATATGCCCCCTTAAAGGATATTTTTTTTGCATTGTATAAATTGTAACACTATAAAAATGAAATGTATAGCTATCAGATTATACATCAGGATAAAGTAATCCTGAAAAAGTACACTTTTTTCGCGTCCCAAAAAATAATGATAAAGCTAAAGAATGGCAAAAAGTATCGCAAAGGAACGATATAATTTTAAATTCTTCACATTGTTTTTGTGAGAAACATTTCGAAGAACACGATATTGTGTGGAAAAGATAAGGATGGTACAATTATTCAAAACGTATGTTATAAAAATGGTTTTGCTTATTATTTCTCAAAAAATATTGCTTATTATTTCTCAAAAAATGTTATGTTAGTATATTGCATCGCAGGTGAAATGATCATGTAATTATAAATGCATTTGTATTCTTGTAAATATTTTAACTAAATAATACTAAATAAATAATACAATGTAATAAAAGAGTAATGAATACTGATTTTCTAGATTTCATTAAAAAGGCCTTATATTAAGGACAATGCGGTATCCTCATTATTTCCTTGGATGGAATTTATAAATAATGATAGTTGGATAAGAAATAATGACAAAAATAATTATATCAATAATAATAATGATAAAAAAGAAAGTGTATCTTTTATGATGGAATCTGAAAATAGTATAATAGAAAATACAGGAAGTACGTTATTAAATAATAATATGAAAGGGAAAGAAAGCTCAGATATTCTAACATTTAACGAGTTGAAGAAAGGGCGAATTAAAAACTTGGTTTACACATGTCACTGACTCATCAAGAAAAGTTTTTATATTCTCTAACACACCACATCTTATAAAAACTATACGAAACTGATTATACGATAAGAATCTAAAAGTACGTGCATATATTTCACTATAAAATAATAATATTTATACAAATGAAATTAAAATTTCACAGTAATTGTAATACTAGTTTTTCATTTTTATAATTAATTTCGTTGAAAATATTATCTCATTTTATTTATCTACATTTCATACAGATGAAACCAAAAGGACCTTTAATTTCTTGGAAACATTTTGAAAAATTATATGAAATTGTTCGTGGTATCCCAATTCCCATTTGTCCCAAAATAACAAAACATCATTTATATCTTAAAAATTAATAAAAAATGCGAGTTCGTTTAGCTGTGCAGGTAATATCAGTGTTTTGTATAAGGATAATAAAAAATTCTATTTTGAATAATTCTACTTCCAGTACAACATTTGTTATTTCAGATTTTTAGCAATTCCATTGCAAAAGGATTGCGTTTTTACAGTCTACATCATCCTGAATAGCAAGAAAGTACAGCCACTGCAGAGTTCTGTGAATGGATGAATTGTTTGTTTGATGCTTTAAATAAAAGAGATTATCAAAGCGGATTAAAAGTAGGAAGTAAAGATTATTTGGTACAATTTTTCAAAAAGTGAATTTCAGTATGTTCATGTAAATGTAACAATATTATCAAATATTATTGTTATACAATATTATAGTTCCTACAAGAATCTTTACACAAGTTGGATGAATGGGAAAATCTAATGGAGGAAGGAATCATCACAAACAATGAATTTCTTACTCGACAGACTACGGAAGGACTTCGCGTAACTTTACGATCCAAGACAGATATTACGCATTATTTAACCAGCGAATTTAATTTCTCTTGCATTTTGCCAGGAAGTATAAATCAAGATTTAGAGGTTTGTTACATACGGAGAATTAATTGTATCATGAAAAACGTGATTTTTCTTACATGAAAATTGCATTTAATAATTAATTGTAATTTAATACTATTTTGTATTTTCTACAATTATTAAGTTGATTTTCTTTTTTTAGCGCTACATTGTAAAAGAAACTTGCAGAAAAATCGTATTTAGTAAACAAGTCATATTTTCCGCGATAAATCATACTTATAGCGATTTTTTTGTTGCGTTCGTCAAGCAGGAGGATGTAATGACCATCCTGCAACACCAACTTTTTTACAAATTTATAAAGTTCTGTCTTCCTATTCTATTCTCTCTCCACCAAAATATGGGTATTGCATGTTAGAAAAAGAAGTAACATCGTCTTTAATTTCGCTCGACATCAAGTCTCTGTATAAAAAATCCAAAGAGGAAATGGATTCATTCATTTTTACTATGAAATCAAGATTAAATGATATTATCACAAATGACATTTATGATATGTCAGAGCATAATTATACCACACCTGCAACTTTTGATTGCATTATATACTTCATACACGTGTTTGCCAGCGATTATTAAAGTTCACGAAATGTTCTTTATGTAAATAAGCACTTGTTACTAATTCTCAAGTATATTACAGAAAAGCGAACTTGATGTGCATCTCTTGTTCATCCAAATGTAGGTTTCTACAATTTTGTTAAAAATTTGGAACAGGTATTTACAAAACATTGCCACGAGTTAAATGTTGCAAATGCTATTTTAAATAATGTAATTGAATCTGATTTATTAACTTTTCCTTGTGAGGCTCATAAAATAGATATTATATCGTACATTGTTTACTATTTACAAATAAGATTTTCACAATATTGTCGCGACTTAAATAATAACAAAAAAGATAACATATGAAAAAAATATCGAAACATTGTAAAACATAAAAAAACTAATATATTATAAAAATAAAAATATAATTGTTAATATTTTGTGGTTTTTACATTTCTTTTGTTATAAAAATACGTTCTCTAAAAATCTTACATTGAAAATAAATATTTATATATTTTTACACTAATATTACAATAATATTGTTTTACACTATGATAATATGACTATGATATTATTACACTAATATCATATTGATTATCATAATTATATTATTTTATTACTTTATTTTATAAATTCATTTTTTTACAAAAAATTAAGTCTTTCTTAATACTAAATACAATTTCCTTTTATTTAATAAAACTATCTACAATACAATGTAATTAATTACTTTCTTTATATGCCTGTAAGTTGATTCTTGTGAATTGTGGATCATTTCTTGAAAATCTCTTATAATAACATTTTTTATTATAAAATCTCCAAACAGAGAAAAGAATATGGGACGTCCTTAAATAATAAAATTTAATTGGAATCGGAACCAGAACTGGCGTCCGACTCGTATTCGCCGACGTTAATGGCGAACTTGTACTCCTGATCGCAGCCGAGATAAGCGTCGCTCATAAAGTATAACGTGTAGGAATGTTGACCAGGTGCGGGTGCGACGAAGTCGAGCTTGATCTTCGCCTTCTGTTGCAACGTTAGTCGCTTGATGGACAGCAGGGAATTGCTCTTCGGATCGCCTATTACCACCCACCAACCTTCCTCGCGTTTCTGCGGGAAGAAAGGCGCGACGACCGGTCCGGTGACTTCGTCTTCACGTTCCAGTTGTACAATCACGTTAACTGTACCGCCACTATGTAGCTTGTCCTTGTCCTGTACCTCGTACGACATCTCAATGTTGGGATAACGGTTGCAGAACTTGGCCACGTCCGCCATCTGCGCGTCCGACAGTTGCAGCAGCCGATTGCGGTCGTCGTCTTCTAACTCCATCACGTCGAACACTGTTTCCACGCCTTTGTCAGTGCAGCGTTTGATAGTGTCCGCAGTAAAATGCGGCAGCTGCTTCAGGTACGAGTCCTTGGACCACATCGCCTGCGTCACCATCTGTGCCAGTTCCATCGCGGCGACGGCGGGCGCCAGCCATCCAGAAGAGCTCAGTACGTCGACGCATGCTTGTATCAGTCTCACAGCCTTACCCAACACCAGTTCGGTGTCCTTCTGCAACTCCGGGCCAAGTTGTATCCTCGACAGATGTGCTTGAAGTAGAAGCTGTGCTTTTACATGAGGATCGGCCATCCTGATGGCTTGTGGTGCGTGTGGCAATCGCGCTGCCAAACTCCTCAGTAGATTCTCTTCTCTCTGTCGAACCGGCACGCTTTCGTATTCCGCCGCTGCCGAAATAATCTCCAACAAACCGCGAATCTTCGTTTTGTTGTTCAACGACAAGCTGAACAACTCGATGGTGGCGTAGTTGATGTAATAGTAGGCGGCGATCATGCCGAGATTGAGTGGCAACGTGTCCATTTCGTCTTCCACAGCAACACACTTGGCTTGCTCCAAGTCGGTCAACGTGCTCTCTACCAATTCAGACAGGTGGTCCGAAAGATGGCGATGGGTGACGCCTTGTAGACCGTAGTAATTGGGATTTTGCGTAAGTCGTCGGTACAGGAAAGTCCACGTGAGGTAGTCGACCGCGTCTTGCTTGTTCTCGATCGTCTTGGTTACGATTTCTGCGTTGAAATGATCGTGCAGACGACGATCCAAGTGACTTTCCACCGGTAAGAGCTCGTTTAAGAACTTCTTGAAGAAGTCCTTCTTCGAACTTTGACACAGGAGCACGCATTTGGCGTCGTCATCTTCTAGTGGACGGTTAGCACGCGCCACCATTTGTAGCACGTCCGTGATCGGATAGTCTTCGTAAGCATGAGTTTTTCCGTTGTAGCATTGTGTGTCCATGACCACAACGAGGTGGGAGCTAATAGACAGACCCCAGCAGAGATCCCTCGTGGCAACCGCTACTTGAATAGCGCCACTATCAAACAATTGCTCGACCAGACGACGGTCGTCAGCCGACAGACCTTCATGAAGATAAGCGACGCCTTGCGACAAGGTCTCCTTCAGTGTTTTGTCGACCATACGGTCGAGGAACGGTTTGATATCCGCTTCCTCCGCGTGGAAGAACCGCGACGGCTGACCTTCTGCCGCTGTGAACGTCAGCAAGTCAATAGCTGTTAATCTCGCTTGCCGACGAGTAGGTACGAATACGATCACCGGCTTATGCGACGCATGTCGTAATATCGCGTTGTACACCGGCTTCGCCATGGCGGCCAATCGCGAAGCGTTGTGTGTGACGTTTATACCCTGCACGTGCAGCTCCAACGGAACCGGCCGCACAGACGGATGGAAATTAAAGGTGGCAGCGGCTGGCGCGCCCAACCACTGCGCAGCGTCCTTAGCATCGGCCAGCGAAGCCGACAGAGCTATGATTCGGGTGGGTTTGTCCAATTGCGAGGAGATGTAACGCGCTCGCGAGCACGCGACCTCGAGCACCGGGCCTTCCTCGCCGCCGATCAGCTGTAGCTCGTCCACGATGAACAACTGAATGTTCTGCACATTCTTGCGTTGCTTCCATCGACGCGACAGCACGTCCCACTTGTCCGCCGTCGTGATGATAATCTGTCCCTTGGCCAACAGTTTCAGATCCGTGCCAGTTTCTCCGGTAAGGAGGACGACCTTGCGTCCCAACTGCTGGTTGAACTTCACTGCCCAATCAGCGTACACCAGTTCCGCCAACGCTTCCTTGCTCACCATGTAGACGCACCTGCCTTCCGTGTTCTGTGTTAACAAACGCAGCACCGCAAATTCCGCGATGGTGGTTTTGCCGGAGCCCGTGGGTGCGCCTACGAACACGTTGTCGTCGGAGTTATACACCGCGTTGAACACTTGAGTCTGAATCGGGTTGAACTGCGGGAAGCGGTCCGCATATATGCTCTCGAACTTGGAGTTTCGCAGCGCCGTGATCGGCAATGGTTGCAGATCCAACAGCTCCGTGGGCGGTAGATTCTTCTCCGGCAGTATCAGGTGCCGGAAACTCACGGGTAACTGCGTTTCGGCGCCGATCCACCGGTCAGATACGACGCGTAGGAAGTACTGCGGTGGTAACGGTTCAAACACTGGCACAAAGAACTTGATCACGTGCTCGTCGGCTGCGTACTTGGCCTTCAGCAGGAAATATTCATGATGCAGTATCACTTCTGAGTCCACGTCCTCGACCAGTATCCAGAACGCCTCCGACATGCCGTGCACCTTCTCGTCCCATTGAAAGTCTGGAGTGATAGTCAGGACGACACGCAGAGTGGAACGTGTGATCGGTTGTATGTGCGTAGACAGGCCCAGCTTCGGGAACTGATGGACGTACTTGTGTATGGTTTTGCCGAGCTTCGGCACGCGTATCAGCTCGCCGATCTCGTTGGGTCCGAGATCGTACAGTCTCTCCCAAGGAAAGTTCTTTTTCTCGATCTTCTTCACGATCTCCTCTGGCATCTTGCGGAACTGTCGCAGCGGTGACATAGACTGCCACATCCGGCGGTCGATCATCTTGCAAAGAGACAAACACTTGTCCGCCAGCTGCGCCCAGCCCCGAAACAGCACTATTTCGAAGATAGCTCTCATGAGACGCGACGCGGACTGCGTGACGAACACCATGTCAGACATGAGGGCGAAGCCCTCGAGCCTCAGTTGCGAGATATATGCCTGTAGAAGCACATTCACCTTCGCACTCGGCTCTTCGATGCTCTCCTTCACAGGTATCGGCACTCGTTCCATCAACTTCTGCAACTCTAGTTTCTCCTCCTCGCGCACGTTTATGTTTTTGAACTCGCCGGACAGCGAGAACACGCGAAACAATTCTATCTCGCTCAATGTGCGCTTCAGCAACTGATTGTACGTCGCCATAGTCTCGTGCGTGCAGTAATAATGAGATCCGATTCTGCCCAACTCGGTCGCCTGAAAATTGCCGGACTTGCGGTCGTACTTAATGAGGCCGCTGCGATCCAGCCCAACAGCGGCCGAGTGAATGAGATCGGCCCGGTGTAGCTCCAGTAACGGATCCTGCTTCAGTTTATCGTGGCTGATCCCATACAGGCTCGGACAACGCAGCATTCGGATATAGAGGTAAGTGTAGCCGAGCCAGGTGACCGCATCCCGAATGTTCTGAATCGTACCCAACACCACTTCCGCGTTCAGCATATCGGACATTTTGCTGATCAGCTGCGACTCGATTGGCAGCTGCTGATTCAACAACGACAAGTAGTACTGCAGCTCGCTGTGATTCGTGATGAGGATACCCTCGCCTTTCGTGTCGTATTGCGGTCGACCTGCACGACCCAACATCTGCAGGACGTCTAACGCGCCCAGTTCCACCCACCTGCCTTTCTCCGGATTGTACACTTGCGTGCCCTTGATGATGACTGTATGTGCCGGCAAGTTAACACCCCAGGCCAAGGTTGCCGTGGACACGAGCACTTGTATGTGTCGGTCGGCAAAGAGATCCTCCACCAGAGTACGATCGACACGGGTCATGCCGGCATGATGAATCGCGAAGCCGTACGGTAGCAAATCCTTGAGTTCTTGATTCTTCACCTGCTCCGCTTCTGTCCGCAATACTTCCATCGACGCGGAACCTTCTCGTAGAAACTGACCCAACGTGTCTTTCTCCAGACACATGTCTCTGATGGCGCGCGCTGTCTTACCGGTTTCCTTGCGTGAATGCACGAATATCAGCACTTGATTACGGCCCGCGTGTTCCATAGTCTTCTCGTAGACGATCTCGTTCATTACCTGGAAACGCTTGAGCGCCTTCTTCTCGGTGACACCGATGTATTGCTGTTCCAATGCCACTGGCCGGAAACTATTGTCGAAATAGAACAGTCCTGTTTCAGGTTTGATGCGCAAAAACGCCGCGACGTCTTGATAATTGGGTAACGTGGCCGACAAGCCGACGAGTCGCACGTCCTCCTGGGTAGTCTCGATATTCCGGATCGTCCTCGCGACCAACGCTTCGAGAACAGGTCCTCTTTCGTCGTGAAGCAAGTGAATTTCATCAATAATGATCAGCCGCACCAACGACGTGAAGGTCTTCTCGCCGCCTTTTCTCGTTATGATATCCCACTTCTCTGGCGTGCACACTATCACCTGAGTAGCGGCGATCTGTTCTCGCGTCAGCTGATGGTCCCCCGTTAACTCGGAAACAGTGAGATTGTACGTCGACAAACGCTTCCGGAAATTTCCGACCATCTCCTGTACCAACGAACGCATCGGCGCGACATAGATCACCTTGAATTCGTCGGCATTGATCGTACCGTCGGCATTGATGTGTTTGCCGATCTCTCGCATCATGCACAACAGTGCCACGTTAGTCTTGCCGGCTCCCGTGGGTGCGCACAGTAGCAGGTTCTCGTCGCTTTCCAGTGCTGTCTGATATAGACGACTCTGTATGCGATTCAATGTCTTGAAGCCTTCGAACGCTGGTTGCACGTACTTCGGCAATTGATCGATCGGATGCAGCTTCTCGTTCTCCGCGAACGGCTTTGGTTTCAAGGCGGGGACGTGAACCTCTTCGTATCTGCAGATATTATAGAATGGTTTAATTTTAATGAAATGTAAGAATACAAAATATGTTATAATATAAAAGTAGATAAACATTATTCTACTGTTCTAGACATAGAAAATATAAGTTTTTATGAAATACTTGAAACAATTAACATTTACTTGAATACAGTATTTTTCTGTCTGTAATTTTGTTTTTATGTAAGAATATCTTGACATCATTTGATTTGCATAAAAACAAGCGCTAATCTCGCACTTTAATGTCGCAGAATCACACTCACCCCTTTCGCTGCTTGCGGAAGCTACCGTCGGGAAGCTGGCAACGTTTGTTCGCCATGAAGTGGCTACCCTGCGCAAATATCAGATCTTCTAAGTCAATCAAGTTCCTTGTGCCTTGAACCTGACCGCCGGGCCCGCCCGTATCCTCGTTCTCTTCTCGCCTCTTACGCTGCGATCTCGCTTCCATGGTTTCATCGGCGTCATCTTCGCCCTTGCCCGTATCTAACTGCCGCAAGATCTTCGCCAGAATCGGGTCGTCGTTCATCTTGTTACGGATCTTTTGTCTCTCCGACTCGGACTGTGACGACGCCAGCATCGTACAGTACGCGACTATAAATTAAGAAAAGGAAATAAGAATATTTAAAGATACTTTAAATTAAGAAATATCTTTAAGAAATATGTAAAAATATAATATTAATTTTGTAATGCGTGTACAATTCCTTACCCGTGTGTCTGTATTTCTTGAGTTGTTTAATGAAGTCAAAGCAATCGTAGCCCAAGAGCAGTACAAGTTGATTCTCACAGTCGCGATCATCACCAGCATCTTTTAAAACGGCCAACACCTCGGCGGCTCTCGCTTGTGAAACCATCGCGTCATCGTATATCCTGCTCAATCTCCTTTGCAACCAGTAAGCATCTATGTCCAATGGATGTAACGGCTTCTCTTTCTTCATCTCTTCTGTTCCACCCAACTGAAAGACAATGCGTGTCATAAGTAAATATTAGCGTTTCTAAGAATTGAAAAAAAGAAAAAACATGTTATGCTTTCTTCTCAATTCTAGTAAGTAAATAATTATTCAAAACTGATTACAATTTATACTTACATTCTCCGCATGAATAGCCCTGTCGTCGTTGGCTTCCTCGCCTTCGTCTCCTTCGTCGTCGTTTTCTCGCACTTCTCCGTAAACATCTTCGTCATCCTCTTCGCTGCTCTCCTCGAATTGTACGTTAATTCCATACGTTTCATCGATATTCTCGTCGTTCGCCGTGCTTTTCTCGTCGCTGCCGAAATCTGTGATTTTTTTTCCCAGATTGACCAGAAGAGCAAATCTCTCTTCTGCTAGTGAACCAAGCAAGAGCTCTGTCTCCTTTTTCTTCTCTTTCTCTTTAAGCCGGTCATTTTTCAACACAGCTAACACTTCGTCAGCTGCGCCGCAAAGAATATCACGCGGTTGGTCACCCAAAGCTTCTTGTATGAAACTGAGCAATACTTCATAAGTCTGACGTGTCTCTTGTGTTTTTGGACGATATACAATACCAACCATTTCATCGACGCCCTCAGACAGTAATGTCGCGCCTTTCATACGTGCAAAGTCGTACTGAGCTTCATCTCGCTTCTGACGTCTACACAGAACAATAAAAATTTCTTACTTTAGACTTATATCTCCAACCTTCTGAATTATATTATAAGAGATTATCTGTTAAATCTTTTAACAAAAAGATAAACTATATCACAAATTAAACTTAATATAAATAAATATAACTTATATAAAATAACTTAATATATATATATATATATAAATAACTTATATAAAAATTGAGTAATTATCCAGTTTAGCAACTTCACCTCCGATTTCGATGAAAGTAAGCTCAATCGACGCGTTTTTGTTAAAGAAACAATTTTTTCCTCTGACAAAATCGTTGCTCTCTACTGCAAAACAAGAAATTAATTGTTAAAAATACTAGGTATGATGAGTTAAGAAACCCGTCATTGCAACGTAAAGTCTGTTAGTTACAGTTGTACTTACTGTATTAGTGTAACGTAGTGTGCAACAACTTCATGAAAATACTTAAATTAAGAATATTTTAAATATATTAGACATTTGTAACACGGGAAAGATATCGAACGACAAGCGGGGGGCTGTGTCCCCTGCACCTCCTCTCCAAAAACTAACCTAACCCAATCTATCGTCGTTCGAAATCTTTCCCGTGTTACAAATATGTCAAATATATTAAAAATATTCTTAATTTAAGTATTTTCATGAAGTTGCTGCATACTGCGTTACACTAATACAGTAAGTGCAACTCTAACTAACAGACTTTACGTTGCAATGACGGGTTTCTTAACCTATCATACCTAGCATCTTTAACAATTTCTCGCTTCGCAGTAGAGAGCGACAATTTTGTCAGAGGAAAAAATTGTTTCTTTAACAAAAATGCGTCGATTGAGCTTACTTTCATCGAAATCGAAGTCGCTAAAGTGGATAAATACCAAAAATTGTAACAAGGTAAAAAATTATCTCACAAATTAAACTTACTTGACTTTGCGCTCTTCTGCCTTGCCTGGCTTGGTACGCTGGGCTCTATCACCCATACGTGTACCATCCAGTTTCCCAACGAGGGACATAACTTCTCCAGTGGCTTCATCTCTACTGCGTCTTTCTATCAAGCGAACGTCAGCTTGTAAAACGAGATTAGAATTCTGAAATCATTCATGTAAACTTTACAAGTACAATACTACACAACCTATCATTAGCATGGCAATTAAATACAGCATTGATAATATAGCATCGACTATAACAGATACATAAAGTAGATACGTTGAAAAAATTGAAAAGAGAAATTATTATATCAGGAAATTAAGAACAAATATGTAAGATACAAACCGCTTTATATTCGTATTGCAGTTGACGAGCCGCAGCATCCGCCATGATTGTATGGCTTCTGCAATAGAATGCTCATAGAATTCGTGTCGAGTAGTAAGAAGCGAAGCAAGTGTAAGCCAGCGGCACACGATGCTTGTTTTCGTGCTGGATTGCTTGCTGGATGGAAATACTCTATTCTGATTGGTCCGTCTTCAGAAATGCACCAATCAGAACAGAGTAATGTCTAGGTATAGCTTCCGGAATGGAGCCGTGTCTTGAATCAGCGATATGCCGACGTTTCGCAAACGTTGCAGTTTGCATCATCAGGGCTGAGAACTCTGATACTGAGCTCCCTTGGGTAAAGTTTGTCCTTATATGGTCCTGGCGGCACTACAGATGTTGACAGACGCTTATAGCTTCTGCACACAGGACGCCGTAATGCTTGCCGCGCGACAGCCAATCAATATGTTGCTTTTCCGTAAGAGCTAAAAGGTTATTACGGAAAGCAGCATATTGATTGACTGTCACGCGACTTCCGCCGCGCGGTAAGCATTACCGCGTCCTGTGTGTAGGAGCCATTAGAATCGCCGCGGCCCATGATTATATAGGGTGTTTCCGAAATGTCCAGGGTTGAGTCAAGTTGAGTTAGTTCCACTATAGTATCCGTTACATATACTATAGTGGAACTAACTCAACTCGACCCAGCTCTGGGTATTTCGGAAGCATCCATTGTCAAAGCTTGTGTCTCCTTTTGGAAAGCAACCAAAAATAGGATGATACTTGTCGACTTGTGTCTCTTGTTGGAAAGCAACCTTCATAAATGTATAAAACGGGAGGCGGGGAGAGGGGGTAAAAAGATCCGAAAATTATTTGACAATCATTGAAAATTATGACAAATTGATGTCCTGAATAACAATCGAAAAAATTCGGAACAAAGGGTGAAAAATCGGGACTGTCCCGAAAAAATCGGGACGTCTGGTCACCTTATCTATATATACAAGAAATATAAAAAGGATATGTTGGTGACGATCGTCACTACGTTATCGACATTTTTGGAGTTCACTATCGAGTTCAGTATCTCCTTAAATGCAACGAAAAACATTTATGAGTCCTTAGAATTATTATAATTAATTAATTATTTTTTAACTGTGATGTTAGCCGCAATTTAATAATAGCTTTAATATCTTCACTTTTGCTCACTAAAATTTATCAAGAAGTTATAACGACTGCCCCTTCCCCCTGCACAAGGACACGGAACACATTTATCGCACGACAAAATGCGATGCGGTGTCATCGACATATCTTTTTTTTCATAAAAACTAGAAGTTTATTGGTTTTTGCCGCGCGGTAAAAGATTTCGCGTTCAATGTATAGGAGCCATAAGTATATGTCGATTTTCAGAATATTCGTGTGAATTCAGTATTACAGTGGACGCTGCGTCGTTTTGTATGCTCCGATAAGGGATTGTGTGTGTCGAGGAGTGCTGAGGCAACTAGCTACTAAGAATTCTTGCTAATTACCGTGATAACTGACAATAAACATTGTGTGCAGGTTTCTGCTGTGATCGCGTGAAGAATATATGTGATCATGCATACCTCCCAATATGAACGATCGTTTCCAATGATATGTCTGTAAAAGAAGTTTGAGCACATTGTAATCAAATTGCTCTCGACAGGAGCACTCTCCCGAGATTTGCAATCGTATCGGGTTAGTTGTTAGATTCCAATAAATTTCTTGATACATTATTTTTAGTCCCATCTATTATTTTAATGTATTGAAGTAGGTTAATATATTCAATGTATTTACATTTCTTATTTGACACATGTGTCAAAATGTATGAAGAAAAGAGTGTGATTATTGGTTGCAATTTAGGATTACTAAATTAATAGTGAATCATTTGTCATTCTCAGCACAAAAATATCAAAGTGCAATCATGGCTATGCACAGTGTTGCACCAAAGCGAAAAGAAATCTACAAATACGAAGCACCATGGCCCTTATACAGCATGAACTGGTCAGTAAGGCCTGACAAGAGGTTTCGTTTGGCATTGGGCAGCTTTGTGGAGGAATACAATAATAAAGTGCAAATTGTCTCATTGGATGAGGAGACTTCAGAGTTCAGTGCCAAGAGTACATTTGATCATCCATATCCAACTACAAAGATTATGTGGATACCTGATAGTAAAGGTACCAGCTTATTTTTGCACATATGATTGATTGTGTAATACTATAAGAATAATACTATAATACTATAAGAAATAATACTATAAGAAAAAGTTTTTGTCATATAGATTAAATTATGTAATTTTTATATAGCATTTTTTATATTGAATTAAAAATGTAAACAAATTTTTCATTATTCATGGTTTTCTAATGATATTATTTTACTGGTTTAAACCTGATGTCCAATTAAAAAAAAATAAAGGTATAAATATATGTTT